AAGAACCGTATAACACTATACTTCTATTTCCCCTTTCTCAAAATTTGTGCCGTTATCATATACTTTAATCCTATATCTGTTATAAATCACAATATGTTGTTGATTTTTTAGCTTTAAAGGGATTTAAAGCAAATTTTTAGGAAAAAAAGGGTATTCTTAAAAGTTATGTACATGTTTGCCACTGTCTTCAGTCCTTTTAGTAGATAAAATGTCCCATTTGGGCCCAGGCTGTGGCGCAGCAGGTTAACACCCTGGTCTGAAGTGTTGGCATCCCATATGGGTGCCGGTTCGAGTCCTGGCTGCTCCATTTCCAGTCCAGCTCTCTGCTGTGTCCTGGGATAGCTGTAGAAGATGGCCCAAGTCCTTGGGCCCCAGCACCCACGTGGGAGACCCAGAAGAAGCTCCTGGCTCCTGGCTTTAGATTGGTGCAGCTCTGGCCGTTGTGGCCAACTGAGGAGTGAACCATTGGATGGAAGACCATTCTCTCTCTCTCTCTCTCTCTCTCTCTCTCTGTAACTCTGACTTTCAAATAAATAAATCTTAAAAAAAAAGTGTTCCATTTGACATTATTTTCCTTCTGCCTAAAGGACTTCTTTATCATTTATTATAGTGCTGAACTGCTGATGAGTTCTTTCAGCTTTAAATATCTGAAAAACCTCTTTGACTTCATTTTTGAAATATATTTTTGCTAGGATAGAATTCCATGTTGACAGTTTTTTCCTTTCAGGACTTTAAAGGTACTGTTCTCCTATTTTCTCATTTATTTTTTGGGGGACACAAAATCTACTGTTTCTGTGTATATAAAGTGTCTTTTTCCTCTGGCTAGTTTTAAGATTTTTTTCTTTACCACTGACTTTAGGTACATTCAATATGATGTGCTTTTGTGTAGTTTTCTTAATGTTTCTTATGCTTGAGGTTTGTTGAGCCTCTTGGATTTGTGGAGTTACCATTTTCATTAAACTTAGGAAAGTTTGGAGCATTACCTCTTCTAGTTTTTCTGTCCTACTCTCCTCTGGTGTTCCAGTTACACGTTTGACATTGTCCCACAGCTAACTGGTCCTGTTTCTTTCCTTTTAGAAGTCTTTTTCCCCCCTCTTCCTATTTCTATTTTGAATAATGTTTATTGTTGTGTCTTCAAGTTACTGGCCTTTTCTTGTGCCAGTTTCTAATCTACTGTTAATCTCATACAGTATATTTTTATCAGACAATGCAGTTCTCATCTGTAAAAGGTTGAGTCTTTATGTCTTTCGTGTTTCTCTTTAACATTTATAAGCTTTCCTCTACTTTCTTGAATATATGGAATTTATAATAGCTATTTTATAAATTGTGGTAAAAATATATAATACAAAATTTACCATCTTAACCATTTTTAAGTATGTAGTGCTGTAGTGTTAAGTATAGTCACATTTTATAAAACAAATCTTCAGAACTTTATTTTGCAATTATCAAACTCTGTAATCATTAAAACATAACTTTTATTCCCTCCTCTCTACCCCAGACCTAGGTCATCACCTTTCAGCTTTGTTTCTAAGACTTTGTCTATTCCAGGTGCCTCATTGTATTAGTCAGCTTTTTGTCATTATAACCTAAATACCTGGGAGAAACTAATTTATAAAGAAAAAGGTTGGGGCCAGCACCATGGCTCATTTGGTTAATCCTCTGCCTGTGGCACCAGCATCCCATCTGGGTGCCAGGTTCTAGTCCTGGTTGCTCCTCTTCCAGTCCAGCTCTCTGCTGTGGCCTGGGAAGGCAGTGGAGGATGGCCTAAGTGCTTGGGCCCTGCACCCGCATGGGAGACCAGGAGGGAGCACCCGGCTCCTGGCTTCGGATCGCCAGCTGTAGTGGCCATTTGGGGGTGAACCAACGGAAGGAAGACCTTTCTCTCTGTCTTTCTCTCACTGTCTAACTGTCTGTCAAATTAAAAAAAAAAAAAAAAAAAAAGGTTTATTTTTCCTCACAGTTCTGGAGGTGCACAGTACAAATTCAGGTGGCTGTGTTGATGTGGTGTCTGATGTGGGCACTGGATGGCAGAAAGTCTGCAGAAGAAGGATCAGATGATGAGCCAGGAAGCAGAGAGATAGGGAGCCCACTTACTCAGGTCCAGGTGATCTCTTCTTACAGAGATACCATGATTTGATCATGAGAGCTGCACCCTAACTCAAACACTTCGCAAGGACCTACCTTCAGATTTCATAATTGAATCAAGTCATCACCCAGTACAATCAATCCGTAGCTTAGGGACTTAAATGCCTGCATGAGTTGAACCAAATACTGTTCATACTATATTACATATATCAGTGGGATCATAGAGTATTTGTCTTTTTATACTTGGCTTATTTCAGTTAGTGTAATATCCTCGAGGTTCATCCATGCTTGTGGCATGTGGCAGGATTTCCTTCCTTTTTAAGGCTGAATAATATTTTATTGTATGTGTATACTACATGTTTGTTCATCTGCAGTGAACATTTGGGTTGCTTCCATTTCCTGGCTGTTGTGAATTACACAATATCACACTATTGGGAATATAGCTGTGCAGATCTCTCTCAGACTCCACTTTCAATGCTTCTAGACATATACCCAGTAATGCGGTTGAGATGGTAGTTTTATTTTTAGGTTTTTGAGAAATCTCCATACTATTTTCCAAAGTGATTTCACCATTTTACAATTCCACCAACAGTGCAGAAGAGTTACAGGTTCTTCCTGGTCTCCAATATTTGTTATTTTCTGCCTTTATGTCTTTTTAAATATATTTATTTATTTGAGAGAGAGCAAGAGACAGAAAGCTCCTGTCCACTGGTTTACTGCTCAGATGCCTGCAACAGCCAGAACTGGGCCAAGCTGAAGCCAGGAGCCTGAAACTCAGTCCAGGTCTCCTGTGCAGGTAGCAGGAACCCAGCCATTGAGTCAACACCTGTGCTGTCTCGGTGCACATTAGCAGGAAGCTGGGGATAGAGGGTGGAGCTGGGGCTCAAACCCAGGTTCTGTGATACAGGATGTAACTTAACCACTGGGCCAAATGGCTGCTCCTGTTTTTGTTTTTTTGTCTTAAAGATGTATTTATTTATTTACACACACACACACACACATGAGAGAGAGAATGAGAAAGAAGTCAAGATCTGCCCATTTTAAAATCAGGTTTTTATTTTTAAGTAGCAGGAGTCTTTTATATTCGGGTTATTAACCCCTTATCTAATATATGATTTGCACATATTTTCTCCCCTCCTGTAGCTTGCCTTTTCTCTCAGCTATGTCCTTTGGTGCACAAAGATGTTTAAGTTTGACACAGTCCTGTTTGTCTGTTTTCTACTTTTGTTGCCTATACTTTTAGTGTCATCCCAAGAAATTGCTATCAAGTCCAGTGTCATGAAGCTTTTTTCCCTGTTTTTCTCTTGTCAGAGTTTTGTAATTCTAGGTCTTGCATTTAAGTCTTTACTCCATATCTAGTTAATTTTTGTAGGTTGTGTAAGCTAAAGGCCCACCTTCAATGTGGTCTTTAAAGAGTCCATATGAATTTTAGCAAAGTTTTTTCTATATATGTAAAAATTGCCATTGGGATTTTGATAGGGTTTGCACTGAATCTGCAGATTGGTTTGTATGTACATCTTAACAATATTGTCTTCCTATGTGTTAAACATAGGATTTCTTTCCATTGACTTTAGTCTTTAATTTCCTTTAGCAGTGTTTTGTATATAACAGATGTAAAGTCCTTGTTCACAAATCCTGTCGTCTGTGTTGTTTTTGTGCCTGTTTTTTATTGCAGGTTGTATTTTCTTCTTTCTTTATGTGCCTGCTAACTTTCGTTTGGATGTCAGACATTGTATGTCAGATGTTGTTTGAAATTGGATTTTCTTTCTATACCCTTAAACACTTTTGATCTTTGTTGTAGGACACAGTTAAATAACTCAGATACGGTTTAATCCTTTAAGGCCTTTTTTTCTAAAATAAAAAAAAAAGATTTTTATTTATTTATTTGAGAGGTAGAGTTACAGACTGAGAGAGGGAGAAACAGAGGGAAAGGTCTTCCACCCACTCATTCACTCCCCAAATGGCTGCAACAACTGGAGCTGAGCCTTTCTGAAGCCAGGAGCCAGGAACTTCCTCCTGGTCTCCCACCAGGGTGTAGGGGCCCAAGCACTTGAGCCATTTTCTACTGCCTTCCCAGGCCATAAGCAGAGAGCTGGATTGGAAGAGGAGCAGTTAAGACATGAACCTGGCTGCAGGCAACGCAGCAAGGCCTCTTTTTTCTTTTTCTTTTCTTTCTTTCTTTTTTTTTTCCCAATGATTTATTTATTTATTTAAAAGGCCAGAGTTACACAGAGAGAGAGAGAGAGAAAGAGAGAGAGATCTTCCATCTGCTGGTTCACTTCCCAAATGGATACAGCGGCAGGGACTGAGCCAGACCGAAGTGGGGACCATCCAGGTCTCCCACATGGGTGGCCCACTTGGACCATCTTCCTCTGCTTTCACAGGCTCATTAGCAGGGAGCTGGATCAGAAGTGGAGCAAACTCTGCACCACAACGTCAGCCCCCAGGCCTGCTGTTAAGCTTTGCTAGGTGACACCTGAGTATTCTTTAATGCAATATTAACTGGCCCCTATTCATCAGTCAATATCCTTCTGAATATGTGGCTGTTACCCATTATTACAGGATTTCTTCAGTCTCTGGCTGTGAATTTTTTTTAGCATCCTTTTATGAACTTTGGTAATCGTTATTCCTTTCTATTGATTTTTTTTTCCCCTGCCTCGGGTACTTTTCCTGTGCACGTGTTCTGATCTGTGCTCCACTGAAGACTAAGCAGAAATTTTCTGCAGAGCTCCAGAGGTTTCTTGCTGCAGCTATCTTCTCTTGGTAATTTGCCCTGGGAACTCCAGCTGCCTTGGTGTCCCTGAATATTCAAATCTGTCTTTTCAGCTTGGGGAGACTTCTGGTCTATGGTCCTGAAAATTCTATAGGTGGCACACTGGACACAGGGCTCATTTTTTCCTTCCTGTCTTTCACAGATCACTGTCCTGTGCATCCTTGTGATCCAGTGCCTGTAAGCATTTTACTTATTTTGCCTAATTTTTATCTATTAGTCTATCACAGATAGAAGTGAAATTCCTGTATATGGAGTTTAAAAATAATAACCTAAATGGAAAAATCCAAAAGTACCATTTTTAGAATTGTTATAGTTAAACCCCATGCTTTTAGAGTGCATGTGCATTGCTTGGCCAGAATCAGAGAACACAGTGTGTGTGAGTGGCTAAATGTGTTAATGTTCTTCCTCAAGGTTCCTATTTCATTTGAAACAAATGAAAGCATATGTGCTGAATTAAATGGTAAGCAACTAGTGGTATTTTCTTCTTTGTAAATCCATTTCCTATTGGCAACAAAACTCCATGCATGTGTATAAAATGTCTTCCTTAGTTTCTAAGGAAGATTTGTGAGGAGTGTTCATTTCTCTAAGGGAATAATAACTCAGATTTTATCATCATTGAAAAATATTTGCAACACTGAAAGTACTACATAAAATACTTTCATAGTTTGGATAGTCAATTTAACTTTACCTTGAAAATAATTTTTTTGACAGAGTGGACAGTGAGAGAGACAGAGAGAAAGGTCTGACTTTACCGTTGGTTCACCCTCTAATGGCTGGCGCACCGTGCTGATATGAAGCCAGGAGCCAGGTGTTTCTCCTGGTCTTCCATGCAGGTGCAGGGCCCAAGCACTTGGGCCATCCTCCACTGCCCTCCCGGGCCACAGCAGAGAGCTTGCCTGGAAGAGGGGCAACCGGGAAAGAATCCAGCGCCCTGACCGGGACTAGAACCTGGTGTGCCGGCGCCGCAGGCAGAGGATTAGCCTATTGAGCCGGTGCCGGCCAGGAAATAATCTTAAGAATTCTTAGAAACCTCTGTAACCGATAGAATAAATAAAGGGGAGAGTGATCCCACATGAAAAGCGAGATACTCAGCAGACTCATAGAATGGCGGATGTCCTAAACAGCACTCTGGCCTCAGAATCAGCCCTAAAGGCATTCCGATCTAGCTGAAAAGCCCATGAGAGTATTTCAGGCATGGAAAGCCAAGACACTCTGGCAAAAAAAAACAAAAAAACAAAAAAACAAAACAAAACAAAAAAACCACCTAAATGAAAGATCTCTGTGAGTGAGATCCCAGTGGAAAGAACAGGTCTTCAAAGAAGGAGGTACCTTTCTCTGAAGGGAGGAGAGAACCTCCACTTTGACTATGACCTTGTCTAAACAAGATAAGAGAACTCAAGGGGCTTCCATAGCCTTGGAAACTCATGACTGGTGCATAGGGAGATTACTGATGCCATAAACAGGAGTGTCAATTTGTAAAGTCAACAATAGGAGTCACTGTGCACTTACTCCTCATGTAGGATCTCTGTCCTTAATGTGCTGTACATTGAGATTTAATGCTATAACGAGTACTCAAACAGTATATTTCACTTTGTGTTTCTATGGGGGTGCAAACTGTTGAAATCTTTACTTAATGTATACTAAACTGATCTTCTGTTAAAAAAAAAAGAAAAAAAAAGAAGAAAGAAGAAACCTCTGTAAGCAAAATAGGTTTAATATGGGCTCAACCTAGCTCCTCATTGGTTATAGGCAGTTGGAATTGACCTTTGGCCTTTCTTCTAATGAAGTTGGATTGTGTAGTAAATTTGTAAAATTAAAGCACAGTGCTGGTTTTCTGTGTTTACTTCTCTTTCACAACAGCCAGTTATAAGGGGAAGGAAGGTTTTATGTGCGTTAAGTCAGTGCTTTGCATTTAAAAATTAACATCAGAAATGAGATTATTTTAAAACTGAATTAGATTATCATGGTTATTTTCTTTTTTATCTCGACCTAATTTAAGATTGTTTTAAAAAGTTGCAAGAGTGATATAAAAAATTCCAGAATAGCCATTACCCAGATTACCCAAATATTAATATTTGATAACATTTGCTTTATTTTTCCTCTCAGTATACCTACCTAAGTTTTTGTTTCCTAAAAGCAAGATCATTCTATTAAATATAGCATAATGATCACAATCAGGAAATTAAATTGATGCAATATTGTGTAGTCTGCAGGCATTATTCACATTTCACCAGTTATAGTAATAATACTGTTGCTTTTGAAAAAAAAAAAATTCCAGGATCATTTGAGGCATTTAATTGTCATATCTCCAGTTCCTTTAAATTGGATTTTTTTAAAGTTTTTTTTTTTAAGTTTGGATTTCATATTGACATTTTCAAAGTGTTGAGGCCAGTTATTTTATAGATCCCTTCAATTTGAGTTTTTACCTCATGATTAGATTGATGGTATTTACTTTGGCCAGAAGTACCAGAGACAGAATGTGCATTCCTGTGCATTATATGAGGAAGAAAATGCTGAAATTTTGCCCATTAGTGGTGATCACTTTGTTCATTTAGTGAAGGAAGTAGCTGTTAGGTTTCTCCCTGGTAAAGTCACTGTTTTACTCTTTGTAATGAATAAGTATTTTCTAGAAATACTTGGAGATTGTGTAAATACCCTGCTACTCTCAGATTTATTTGTTAGTGGTTTTTTTTTTTTTTTAAAGGCAAACATGTGGGTGGGATGGGGTCTAGCAGCTGCCCTGAGAGCCTGGGGTGCCCGGGGACTGCCACAAACATGGGGGCGGATGGGATGACCTCACATGGGTTATCGCCTCAAGGTTGTCTTTTTTTTTTTTTTAAGGCATATTTGTTAGTTTTAACATCTGTTGGTGATTCTTGCATGAGTCAGTCATTATCAAGTTAGTTGCCAAATTTTTTCCAATTCTCTAATTTATTCTGTGTTTATTAGCTGACTTCCTAGATAAAAGCTTTCCTATTGAATTATTCATTGATACCAGTGTGGATTCATTGATTCATATTTTATCCTTTTGTCAATGTCTCTGATTATTTTGAGCATTTTCTCATGTTATGACCCAATAAGATATTCCAGAATTATCTTGTACTGTCTGTGCCCCAATCCTGCAGTCAGGTATTTCTCTAAGGAGTGCTGGTTTCTTTTCCAATGGGATGGTGTTTAAGAATCTGGGTACCAGATGCGCTTGCTGCTGCTGAGGAATCATTGCCTCCAGCTCCTCTCAGAGGACATAGCTAACTGTATACCTGTATGTGTGAGTACATTTGCGTCTAGAGATTCAGAAAGGAGTACTGAATTAACCAGTGTCATGATTGCTAAAAATAAAAAAGTGAATGCAGTCTTAGGTTGTATGACAAGAGATGATGTCCTTTATTAAAAGAAGTTACAGCTCCTCTTTGTTTTGCATTCTTCAGACAAATATATTATTTTGTTGATCACTGGATTCTAGAGATTACCTGTGTCTTATCTGGTAAGGAAGATAACCTGGATAGTGATAGATCGGGAAATCATGTTATGTGAAGAAAAGTTGAAGGAGCTGAGAACATTGAGATTGGAAGAAGATTAATAAGAGCATATACTTATTCTGTGAAGTTGTTTGAAAGCAGAAATAGTACATTTATTGTGTGCTCGTTTAGTGTGTATAACTAATATGGATGATTGGAACTTAAGAGAGAGATGTAAATTTGTCTCTGCAGAAGGAAAATTTAAGACAAACTTTTTCTAATGAAGGAGGCTGCCTTGAAAACCTCAAATTTAGGGGGTCACATTGCGGTGTAGAGGGTAAAGCTGCCACCTGTGTCATTGGCATTCCATATGGGTACCAGTTCAAGTCCTGGCTGCTTGACTTCCAATCCAGCTCCCTACTAATGTGCCTGGGAAAGCAGCAGAAGATGGCCCAAGTGCTTGGGCCTCTACACCCGTGTGGGAGAGCTAGAAGCCCTGGGCCCCACAGTGGCCATTTTGGGAAATGAACTGGCAGATGGAAGATCTCTCTCTGCCTCTTCTCCCTCTCTCTCTGTAACTCTGCCTTTCAAAAAAAACCAGTTATTTTATTTCTAATCAGAGGAAAAGTTTGTTTATATAATTTGTGCTGTGAGAAGCTGGAACTACTTGAAACTAGTCTAAGTATGCTATATTTAGTGGCTAAGGTAATGGTTACGTCTCACAAGATGCATCACGAGGAAAGGATTCTGTTTAAAGGAAGCAACAAATGTGTACACAATCTCCTTTTGGATATTTATAATGCATTGTAATACATTAAAGGCTCTCAGATGTCTCCTGCAGGAAGGAATTCTGTTTGACTTTTTCTGACTTAGTAGGTAGAGACAGGCTGGGTTGCAGATATAATTACATATACAGTATACATGGCATTTGAATAAAGATATTTGATGTGATCGCCAAGGGACTGAGTAAGATAGAGATGATATCCAACGACTGAGCTCAGGAGATGATGAAAATCAGCAAAGGAATTGAAGTGACCAGAGAAGAGCAAATCAAAGAGAAAGGTTTCCTAGAAGTGGAATGTTCAGGAAGAAAGAATGACTATGTCCTGTACTGCTGATAGGTGGACTAAGACGAACAGCTGAGACCTGACCATTGGACTTAGCAACCAGAAATCACTGGTGTCTCTTTAAAAAATTTTTTGATATATATTTTTTGAGAGGCAGAGAGATGAGAAAGAGGGAGAGAACTCATCCATTCATCCACTCTCCCAGTGGGGACTGCAGAGGCCGGTGCTGGGTTGGGCCAAAGCTGGGAGCTGGGATCTCAAATCAGGTCTCCCATGTGCATGGCAGGAATCCAGCCACCCGAGCCATCACCTGCTGCCCCCAGGGTCTGCATTAACTCGGAAGCTGGAATCAGGAGCCAGAACCAAGATTTTTGACAGCTGATAAATACATAACATTTTTACATGTGTTTCTGTTTAAAACCACCTAATTTAATACTTAATGCTAATTTGTTAGCTTTGAACTCACAGCTAATAGTTCTGTAACTCAAGCCTGAATAAAAACTAACACATATACTTTTTTCTGTAAGACACTTTAAAGCCTTGTTGTACTTAGAAACAACTACATTGCACTTTCGTTCTGTGATTGGGAGCATTGTTTTTTTTTTTTTTTGACAGGCAGAGTGGACAGAGAGAGAGACAGAGAGAAAGGTCT